TTAATATTTAAAATTTTATTAAAATTTTTTAAAAACTTATTAAAATTTTAAATATGCAGGCAAATTTGCCTGCATTATGATTTAAGGGATATTATTAAAAAGAATATTTAAACTTTATTATTAAAAATAAAAATTTTTTTCAAGAATGTTTGTTTTTTGAATTGGCAAAATGATCAGCAAGAAAAGCTCTTTAAAAAAAAAAGGTCTTTTTTATTGTTAATTACATATTTTAAAAAGGTATTTAAATTATAAGTTCTTATAATAACAAATATATTTTTATATAAGATTATTTAAATAATAAGTTTGTTATAAATATATTTTAAATATTTTTTATTAATAATAAAATAACATAAGTTAAATAAATCTTTTAATTGCAAATAATTAGATTGATTTAAAAGAATTTTTATTTATAATATAACTTATTTTATTTTATTTTTATTTTTTAAAATTGTAAAATCATATTAAAAATAAAATAAAATTCTAAATTTAAAGCAAAAACATAATTCAAATATTTATACTATTAAAAAAATTATTTTATAATCTAAATTATTTTATTTAAATATTTTTTTATATTTTGTTCTTATTAAAATAATAAGTAAATAGTTATAACCTTTTCAAAAGAAATATAACTAATTAACAAATTTTATATACTAAGCTGTTTAAAAATCTATTTTTAGTTAAGAAGACAATCTGAATATAAATTGGCTTTGATTTTTTAAAATTAATATTTTGATATTTAATTTTGAAAAAAAGTAAATTTATTATTTCTTATAATTAAATTTAGAGAATTAGGATTTAAAAGTCCAAGATAATTAATATTACACAGTAAGAGTTTAATGAATCTATTTTCTTGTAGTAAGATAGTGAATAATTAAATTATCTAAGCAATACAGTGATTTTGATATTAAAAATTCAAGAATTACATATACAATATATGCATAATAATTTTGACTGTATCACCTGTACTGTGGAAAATCCGAAATATTCAAATAACGTATTTTAAAATAAGTTTATAAAATATTGTATCAATTCAAATCTAAATTTTTACAATTCTATTGACGATTATAGGCGCGGTTACCTTACATATTTTACGTGGTTCAATAGCATCATAGCATCGCGAATTACAAATTTTTATCACACAGTATATTCACAATAAAGATTTTTCAAATGCAAATAACTTTTTTAATAGAAGAACAAATGTATTCAATTGAAATATACAGTATATACAGTATATACAGTATATATATTAAGATAATATTGGATTTTTTATTAAATGATAAAGGGGTAATGAAATTATATAATATATTTTGATTTTTATAAAACCAGGAAATATTAGATATTATTTCTATCCTTTTGATTTCCTGTAAAATGCGAATGATCTTTCGGACTTGGAGTTGTAACCTTCGAATTGTTGAGGGGGCAATTCAAGAAATAAGAACTTTCGAAATACTGTAATTATTCATGGTATCATCAAATTCTGATCAGGTAACTTATTTGTGATCCTCGTTCGAAATCCAAGTTTCTTTATCATTGCATCATGATTTTTATGGTAACATTATCCTCTTTACATCTAAAAAGATACCCATGACGCGTCAACAATTACATCGATATACAGATGGTGGCGTAGATAGCAAAAATCGCGCATTCTACAAGATCTCTCCTTATGTATTGGTACATGAGTTGGAACAAGGACAAGCAAAAATCGCGCATTCACATCGAGATACAAATTCTAACAAAGATGGCAAAGATCACGCAAAATAAAGGGAATACACTGTATCATTGCGGCAATTAAAGAAGCGACAGTGTAGGACTTCCTTCCTTAGTTTTTTATTTTGGATCTTGTGTGAAATGGTTGACCAAAAAGTAAGAATCTACGGTTTCCTAATTTATACTAGAGCTCGGAAACGAACGCATTGAGATAAAGATAAGTTTAAGGATGATGAGATAATTTCTTGCGTTCAGAGGCTACATAACTATTACGTAAATAGTACCTGCATGAAATTATTTCTCATGCGCTGCAGATCTGTAAACAATAAAAACCGGTTGAAAAGGTATGAGGCATTTTTGCCACAAATGCACATAGAACTGACGTGTTACATTGGTATGGTATCTTAGAGTAACGCGTAAACGAAAGTGGGTAACGTGATTACCTGTCTTTGTTTACACAAAGTACGAGATGCAAATAACTATTAGCCATTTCCTGTGTTTGTCGAGGGCGAATTCAATTTTTTATTTCGTGTTATCAGTTCGCATATTGGCGTTACGTTAGATAAAATTTGATTATTCATTCAATACGCGTCAAACGAAGATGCTAAAATCTATCCACAGATGAGAGGTATGGGCAAAACATTATAAATACACCGATATTTTCCCTCTATTCACAACCACAACTGAAATTGAGTTTTCCAAAAAATCTCAAGCTTTCAAAAAAAGAACTCTCAACTCAACTCTCAAATCTCTTTCACCTTAAAACAATTTAAAAATGTGCCCTGAATGTACCTGCGGTCTCCAATGCGATTGCGACAATGGCTGCTCTTGCGCCAATGAATAATTTTTGAAGGAAGAATGGTAGGCATTCATTTTTTTTTAAAAGATTACCATTCTTACAACTCATAATAATAACGAAATAAACATTCGTAAATCATTTCAGTAACAATTGAAGGTGATAACATCCGACCCACGAAAGTTCCTTCTCCAACGTTTGGCACACACTTCCATACATTTTTTCATACAATGTATTTTCTTTGCATATTTCATATGCCTTAAACGGCGGATTATCACCTTATTTTTCAAATTTCAAATGATGGTTCCATTTCATCAATATTTTATTTTCAATATTTATTTAAATAAATAAATTTAAATTTATTGTCATAACCTTCGTGTGAATGATTGAGTTGGTCATCGTAAGTTTCGAGAATCGGGTGTACTAGACGTTTTTTTCGGTTCGCACTGAACTTGTCAACCAAAACATCTTATAATTTGAATCACAATTTGTCCAATAACTCGTGTCAATCTGTATGAAACAGAGCGAATATGCGAAAGATGTTATCGTTTACAGAATCATAAAAAAAGATTATGCAAGAACACATTACCCATTCAATTTCAAATTTTCCCAACACTCGGGCAATCTCAAAAAAAGCATCTTCGCCCAAACCACGTTGTTTATATATGCCAAGCACACGTGTCTCGTTTGTATCATAAACCTCGCTTTTCTTTCCATGACAATAATACATCATGGTTTTTACCAAGTCTCGATGTAATTCCGGCAAATACAGCAATTCCGATGCTAGTATAATATCAAATGTCTTGGAATTGTTAAGGTGCATAGGATCTGTGATCAGATCCATAGTCGGTAACTTTCGCCTTTGTAATACAGTACAGTAGATCATCATCAAAAAATTGGAGAACGAGCAAAGGTTTAAACTTGACGATATACATTAGTACCTACCAGTCTAATACGCGTACGTCAATATCCTCTTTTAGTAACTCCCTTGCGTTCCGTGCTCGCCTCGCTTTCTCCATTTCGATAACTTCTAATTCCATTCGCTGTTGTTGTTGACTCAACACCAATTCAACATTTTTTTCCACATTTGTTCGTGTGTGTTCGATATCTGTTTTCGTTCCCGTGCACACCACATATCCCCCTATCCAAATTGTACAAAATATGACAACAGAAGCGTTGTTGTATTGAAACAGGTCATAATTAACGACCCTTTTTACCTTTAATCCAGGCAGCCAACCCTACAAGTCCGCAACCCGAACCTAACTCCAAGAACCTAAGTTTTTTTCGACCTCGCCCTTCCACATGATTGACTAGATATTTACTGAGCATATAGGCCTGACAATTTATTTTTCAAAAAGGTGTACCAAGATGAACCTGATCAAGAAAAGAATCTATTCAAAATGTACTGTATGTATTTGTTTAATGCAACTCACCCCATCCCAAACAATGTTACCTGTGTTCTTTGTGATGTCAATTTTTTCTGTCAATTTTTGAGATATGCGAACTTTTCGGTCGAACGAAAGATTACATTACATACACTTTAACATCAAAATGACATCCTAATCACAATAACAATAATTGAAATCGAATACGCACGAGTGTAGCCATCAAGCACAAATATTCTTTCGGCATCCTTCTTGTAATTAGCGTATGGATTATCAAATTTCCATAACACCATCGCATTACTATTATCACTAGGATCCGATTGTGATTTAAACTCGGAGGGTTCCATTATTTGTAAAAATTATCGAGCGACTATTTACGTGAACTCTTCTTTTTTATTTATCGCATGAACAATGAGTCTAGAGTTGACCCATCTTTTTATTACTTTGACGGCAGAAAAGAAGGGATTGATCATCATCACTTGCATATGAAGTCATACAACATCTGCCAATCACATGAGCAATGAATGATCTAATACATATTACAACTTTGAACCCGACTTTTTTCCCAAAAAATCCGTGGGATTGAGCACCCCCTCTGGATATGAAAATGCCCATGTCCTCCTCAGCGCTTCTCCGCCATCAACTAAAACTATGGTGCCCGTCACATAACTTGACGCCTCCGAGGCTAAGAATAGTGTTGCATGTTCGATATCCCGAATTTTTCCCTTTTTTGGTGGACGCAAAGAATATTTGATTGATGGAAAAGCACATTAAAAAAAACATGATGATAATACAGAATACCAACAAATCTCTGAAGTGGAATATTTCTAGTCATTTCTACTGTAGCTGCCGGAGGCAACAACTTTTCCAAACCCACGGTGTCTTCGATTGGACCAGGAGAGACGCAATTCACTCTAATCTGATGTGGTCCCCATTCCGCTGCGAGTACCTGATTTTAAGAATGCAAGATGAGCCAAGTACATACAGATTACAATTTACCAAGAGACACTAAAAACGTACTCGGGTCAATGCATCAATACCCGCTTTAGCTGCAGAAACGTGCGACTATTATAAAGTTCATTGAGTGTGTGTTTCTTTAATGGGAGAAATAGATGTTTATTGATTAAGGCGTACCTGAAAGGGTATACCTAAAACATCGAAACACATCGGTCAGAAGTTTTTTTGATCAAATTCCCGCTATTCGATATGACAATAATACCTTGATACTGAAGGTTGCTCGAAACATTAATCACCACTCCTTTGGATTTTTTCAGATACGGAAATGCCGCTTTACTGGTATTGAAGGTTCCAAGCAAATCGATCTCGATCACCGTGCGAAATCCTCGATACGATAAAGTATCCACGGGCGATAGAAAATTTCCAGCTATATAAACAAATCAGAATTATGAGAACAAGCAAACCTTTCACCGACAACCACAAATAAGAAGAAAACAACGCTAACCAGCACCGTTCACCAAGATGTCAATCCTTCCAAACTTTTCAATCGTAGCATCAACAACTTTTATTATTTCCTCCGGCTTACGAACGTCAGAAGCAATCGCACTGATGAAAGGACCAAAGAAAATGTTATTTTTTCTTTTTTCGAAGACTAGGTCATCAAGACGAACCATATCAAAAACAAGGAAGACTACAGTATTTCTCCTCCAATTTCTTTGCGCATTTCTTCAGCGGCTTTATCGAGTCTTTCCTGACTAGTTAAACCCGGGAATCACATTTTAGCCGATGAATAAGAGACCGGTTAATTAGATTTAGATTGTGTAGAATGCGATACCTTCGACTGGTGATAACAACCTTGGCACCATGTCTTAACATTGCCTCGGTCATGCCTTTACATATTCCACTTCCACCTTTTCAGTTCAAAAGAATAAGATTTCAATCTCTAATGAACTTTTTGGACGAGAATTGAATCTACGTTAAGCATCGAATAATATCGAACCTCCGGTTACAAGTGCAACTTTTCCTTTTAAAATGTCTTTTCGAAATATTTTTTCGGTTGTTGCCATCTTCAAGTCGAAATCAAAATGTGCATATAAGCTAACCACGAATTTTGCACATACAATTATATATGAATGATATGATATGTACGGTATCTGAATTTGGAAATTTTGGTGAGAATCTCCTTACGTTGCACTATATTGGGCCTCGAATCAACCAGAGTCTAAACCCATCTGGTAAACTTTGTTTAACACGTAATATTAAAAAAGGAAACCGAGTTTTACTCATTTCTCATGAGATATATATGAAATCTTTATTTATTCATTTGGTAAAAAATGATCATATTACATGTTAATTTGAATGATTAAATTCAATATGAAATGATTATCCCGTTCGTCTGTAAAGCCGATAAATTTCGTATACGTATAAACCCGTGGAAATCACGAGGAACATTGGCAAGTACTTGAGGTGCCACAGGAGTCTCCGCATTTGCAAGAACTAATCAAATTCAATGTGAAAACTCTTTAAGCATTCATCCCTCCGCGGAAAATAAAACCAGAGAATGTCAAATTAGATTTATACGTACTCACTGCCGCATGGATGAACAACTTCTCGGGCGTTCGTTTTCGCGCAAGTACAGGCCAATCCGCAAGTGCAATTAGAACCGCATGAACATGAGTCGCACATTTTGATAGTTTTTTTTTTCTTTGTAGATGGTGGAAAGTTTCGGTGATTAATATTTTACTGGAGAAAATTCTCTTATTGATTTTTTTGATAGAAATGGAGAGGGCATATTTATAAGGTTTTCACGCTCATATTTTGGAATGTGTGGGAAAATACTAGAATCGGACAATCAGCAGTGGCAAAAATGCCGCGCGGAGGCAAAAACACCTCATCACACATGATTGTTTACATATCGTGGGCACTTGGGCAAAAATGCCTCACATCCATAATAGGAAATGTGCTTCATAGTTAAATGATAAGTTGATGATTTTGCCCATTTATGGTCAAATTATCAATCTAAAAAGGTGGTAACGATGCCGTCTTGGAGCCCATGCGTATGCGAGTCCATGCCTTATCGATTTTTGGAAATTAATCATGTTTTTTCTATTAATAAAGTTATTTGTTTATTATAAAATACTTTTTAAATAGTAAATAGGCATAAATGCAAGATTATATAAAACATTAATAGTCTTTACGAAAATAAATTAAAGAATTAATTTTAATAATATGTTATAGATTATAAACTTTAAAATAAAATTCAATTTATCAAAGTTAATATAAATTTGAAATTTTTTATAAATCATTATATATAATTAAAAAAATTTTTAGATTTTCTTTTTTTTTAAAACAAAGTACAGTACATCTTATACAAACTTTTATTAACTTATCATTGAAGTTATAATTGTTATATAAAAGAATTGACTAATTGTTTTAACTATCCTAACTTTAATATTATCTCTTTTTTAATCTGATTATATCAAAAGATAAATTTATATATCAAACATAGTTTATTCAAAGAGTATATTCCTGTTAATTGATATTATGGTTCTTATTATTTTTTCTTTTCTGGCTTATACTTTATGATATTTACAGTTTTACTTTTTTATATTTTCTAATACATATTTCAAAAGTTTGTTTCTATAATTAACATAAACTATTAAATCTCTGAAAGTTCTTTATTAAATAAGTATGACTATCAAAAAAATTATTTAAATTATTAAATTAATTTACTAATTTTATAACAAATAAAAAATATTACAAATTATATAAACAAAATAAAATACAATATATTAATAATTTAAAAAAATATATTATTATTATTATTATTATTTTATAAGTAAATATTATTTTTTTTATTTAATTTGTATATAATAAAATATATGTCATAAAAAAAATATTTCTCATATATCAGTATAATAAGTTAAATAATAGTTTACTTATAATTATAAATTATAACAAATCAAATTAATTCAATTCAGATTTTAATTAAATTTGTTTTGTTTTGTTTTTTAAATATATAATTAATATTTGAATCAAATAAATATAATATAATTTAATTTAATTCATTTGTCAATATACAGTGCCCCCCAATAAATGAAGGACCACTTAAAAATTATTAAAATTAATCGGAAATAGTTTCTATATTTC